GGTATATATCTACAATGAAATACTATGCAGCCATTAAAAGAAATGAAATCTTCCCATTTGCAATGACATGGATGGAACTAGAGGGTATTATGCTGACTGAAATAAGTCAGTCAGAGAAAGACAATTATCATATGATCTCCCTGATATGAGGAATTTGAGAGGCAGGGCAGGGGATTATGGGAGATAGGGAAGGAAAATATGAAACAAGATGGGATCAGGAGGGAGACAAACCATAAGAGACTCTTAATCTCACGAAACAAACTAAGGGTTGCTGGGAGGTGGGGGGGGTAGGGATAGGGTGGTTGGGTTATGGACATTGGGGAGGGTATGTGCTATAGTGAGTGCTATGAAATGTGTAAGCATGATGATTCATAGACCTGTACCCCTGGGGAAAACAATACATTGTATGTTAATAAAAATAATTTTAAATAAATAAAAAAATAAACTGGGTTCAAATGTAGGAAAATTATTAACTACCTACTGACATTTTTATATATAGGTGTTTGAGGGGCTTTTTAAGACAATGAAATATATGCATGCACATTAAAGCATTCTTGCATTATTCCACTGAGGTATTTACTTATTGCCTAACATTTCAAAAACTAAACAACTAGCGTTCACTGGATTATCCAACTGTCATACTGCTTCTTTGAACAAATGTTTTGCTCATTAGTACAACTTTCTCACAGCTTTTCACCAAACCATGTTAAAAAAAAAAAAAAAAAAAAAAAAGCTATGCTCCCACTTCATCTCCATTCCAAGTGAGGAATTACCACTTTCAAATCATTTCTGTCTTTAATTCTGGTGATTACCTTCATAATGTATATCTACACTGCTAATTTTCATTGGACCTCATCTGACTCCCCATCCTAGAAATAAGGATTTAATTTATACTAGTCTCCCTTATTCCTTCCAGTTTTTCATGTAAGAATTAAAGAATAGAGCTATTACGTTTACTACTGAAATAAACGTAAAACCATATTCATCTATCAGTGTTACGCAGCATCTGGACTTCTCCACATATGAGGATGTCCTCGTCCCCCACCCCCCATTTCAAACTCACTTCTGTATGCTTTTACTTTTACATTGTTAAGGTGGATTTTGTTTACATTCTTGTCTTTCATGTTTAATCTACTGATTGATTCTAAAAGCTGAACATCAATACACAGCAATTAAAATGCTAAAAAATATTAACCTGGGCCCAAACTAGTAAAACCCACTTCTGAGTTCTCTAATACCTAACTTTAAAGAAAGAAAACTAAAGACATTATACAGTTTAGAATTTGTGGGGGGAAATGACTTTAAAAAAAATCTATCAAGCTGAATTCAATAGGAGATTTCTTAAGTGGTCTGTGCTCTTGGATAAGCACAACTTGGGTAAGATGTGTTAAGTATTTATTTTCATTATTTGAACCTAACTGCTGCATTATATTAGGAAAAGACCACACAGCGCATAATAGGCTTGGTGAAAATATTCTCTCCATGGAAACCTGACATGGTTTTCTTTCCTTCAGGGAAATGAGTTTCTTCAAACCAAGTTTAAAAGATGGCACACTCAATCATAACTGACAATCTCAGCTAAAAAAGTCTGAACGTTTTGGCTTTAGAATGAGTATAACAGACCCTTGACATTTCAAAGTCTAAGTCCTGAGATCTTTGCTCAAATTAAAAAAATATTCGAGTAAATATATACAGGTTCCGGGTTTTCCTCAGAATTACACTTTCACCTTATGTCATAAAGTTTCTTACACTTAATTAAAATTTCCCATTATTAAAAGGGGATGTACTTTCACATGCAAAATAATCTTTTTAATTCCTCTCATAGAATAGCCATTGTATTCATTTGCTGGGCTGCCATAACAAAGTATCACAAACTGGGTAGCTAATACAACAGAAATGTATGCTCTCTCAGCTCTGGAGGCTACAAATCCAACATCACGATATTGGCAAGGTTCATTCCTTCCAAGGGCTGTGAAAATCTACTCCATGCCTCTCACGTAGCTTCTGGTTGTTTGCAGGCAATCTTTGGCATTCCTCGGCTTATACGATCATCACCCTGATCTTCATCTTCATCTGATGTTCTCCCTATGCAGGTCTGTGTTCAAATTTCCCCTTTTAATAAGGCCATCCATCACACTGGATTAGGGCCCATCCTAATGGCTTCATCTTTACTACCTACACCCACAATGACACTATTTCTGAATTACGTTACAAGGTATTGAGAGTTAGGACTTCAACATATGCATTTTGGGGGAGCACAATTCAACCCACAGCAGCCATTTTCACATGATAAAGTCTGACATCTTTCAATCACTACATATTGTTTGGGTAACTGCTGAATTTCCCATGTCGGTAATAGGAACTGGCACACAGAAGAGGCTCAATAAACATCTGTGGAATGAATGAGTGAAAAAATGCATGAGACCGCGAGGGAAGAAAGTGTGGCTGCTGAGAGGTTTGCTAGGGCCACATCATTAGCTGAGTAATGCCATTCTGCATGGCATTTAGCAGGAATTAGGTTTATGCCTTGACAAAATTGCAAAATATCGTATACCCCATGGACTCTAAGGTCACATGTAAATAGTCAAAATCATAAATGTTAAAAATAAAAAATGTCAAAACTCATAAAACTCAGCAATTATTATACATATTTTTAATGATTTCCTTTCTTAAGGGAATGACAGTAGAAAAGAAAGTATCAGAAATAGAGTAGTAAATGATTTTGATTTAAATTAAGTCATGGAATGCATTATTAGAGAGCAAAGGTCACTAAATGAAACCGTATCAGCCAGATACATTACAGCACTGTTTATAGGTAATCCACTTCTGTAGCACTAAATCAGGTGATTTCTTGTGACAATAATTCTTCTGCTATTTTAATGACTAAACCTCTTTGGACAAGATCCAAGATGAATTGTACATACTACAGTAAATTGTACATAACAAGCCTCTATTCTTTTTACACTAACATTTTCAATGTGGACTCTCAATAGATAATGCTCACATAACAAGGGATTGAAAGTATTCTTTTCTATTTCTCCTAATCATCTCATTCAAATCATATCATTTCCTGGGTACTTGGCTTTAAAAAACTGTATTACTATAAACTTTAAATTCAAGCCCTGGATAGGTCTACATTCATTTCAGCAGAAGCATCTTGAAATGCTGAATTATCATCTTCAATTTCCTTCAGTCATTTACTGTAGCTGCCAAACTGAAATGGTGCACCTAAAAGGCAACACTAAACTGAAAGCAAATAATAAAAAAAAGTCTCTTAAATGTTTCATTTATAAAAGCTTATTTTTCCCCACCATCAAATTTTGTACACGGTCTGAAATAAATTGCTTTACAAAATTGACATCTTGCATGCAGTTATTCTGCCACAATACATTTGCTTAACTTCAAAGTTTATGGGGGCCAAGGGAGAGTGGGGAGCTAGCATCTTTTCTCAACCTTTTATGAACAGAAGAATTACACGGAGCTAGACTGGTTTTGGGTTTTGGTCTTTTCGGAGTGGGGGAGGGGACAGAATTAAAAATAAACCTCAATTGCCAATAGGGATCACTATAGCTATCCCTTTTCTAGATAACTAATCCTTCCTGGCTATATTAAAAAATTATGCCATAAAAATAGACACTTTTAAAAGGCACATCAAGTCAGAGGGTAGCTACTCCAAAGAGTACTCTATGACAGGAAAACATACCTGCTAACCGAAAACATTCAAAGCATTTTCTTAAAATCCTGCTCACAAGCAATATAATAGCAAATTAACAAAGTAGAACAAATCTACAGAATTCTACTATGAAGTCCTGTGTACTTTTCCCCCTAACATAATTGTTAATGACAACTATAAAATGCTAATAGACAAAATAAACAAAATGTAGTTTGTATTTCCAAAACTGGAGTTTTAGACCAGGATACAGGGAAAAGGAAATGATTTTATTAGTAAAGTACATTCAGATCACCTTTATATAAAATAGGTTTCTACCAAGGTCATTTGGTAAGGGAACCATTGCATATATTTGGGCAAGGGCCAAAAATATGAGAAAAAATGAGATGCCAATGCTTCTTTTTCTTCCCTTTATATACTAAACTTAGCTACTACAAGACAGTCAGAATCACTGTTTGATTATTTCTCAGTTTATGTCACTTTGTAAAGCCAGAATTTCTGATAATGTACTGCATTAAATTATAGTTTAACTATATCTTAAACTGTATGATTCCTAGAGCATCTTTTTCTCCAATGACCTACTGAAGAAATAAGTATCTATATTCAATACATTGTCCATTTTTGAAGCATTTCCTAGTCAATTTTAAAAATCTTATTTAGAAATAATATCAATCCATTTCTAATAGCTAAGTAGAATAATTTTTTAATCTGCAGGGTATTTTAAAAACCAATCAACTTGACATAACCTCCTAATTCCAGGAATGTAAACCATAATTCAACCTTCAATTTTCCTCTTAACATATTCTACTTTACTAAAATGAATTCCCATCCTGCAACTATGAACAAGAAAATTGTAGTTAAAATAATATTAAAAGACAAAACCTCATTATTTAGTATTAGATTAATAGTCTATAATTCTAATCTTAAAAATATCTATAGCTATAACCTCTCCAACTTGTTAATTCCCAAGGAGATTAATAAAAGATGTGATTAACATCTAAACTTAGAGCAGACTGTCATTTGGAAAAAACTATGTTAACAATAACTACACCATAGTCAAATAGATCAACCCATCACCCTTTATGGTTCTGACTAAGGTTAATGAGCACAATTTGTCATAAATTTCCTAGTAACTCTGAAAAACTGAATTGAACAAAAAGATTACTTTTTTCATAATGCTTTATAAAAATAGAATAAAGGCTGGAGCTGTCTTCCTTGGAACCTGCACAATATTCGGCAATGTGTATGTCATTAAATATTTGTGAAATGAATAAACAACAACAACAAATGAGCACTCATTGCACTACTACCATTTAGTTCCTTATTATGTGCCACGTAATGAGTATTTCAAATTCTACATTATAAAAGGCAATACACTCAACTAACATTTTAGTTCTACTACTTTTCCTAATAAAACACTGAACAAATTATTTACTAAGAAACTCCAATTTAACAGAATTTAGAGTTGGATTTTCACAAACCAATAACTTGTCCAATGATTTTCTGCAACTGAATGACATTTTTCATTTTTTTCTTTATGAAATTAGAAATATACAGAAAATGCAAGTTGTAAGTTTCCTTGTAATAAATAACGCATGCACACTACACTTGCTCATAATAATATTTATTTCTCTCGTGAAGTTACTTTTTCAAAAAACTAGAAATTTGAGAGGATGAGGATGAAAAAAGGAATGAAGCAACTATACATGTACTTCCACTTCAAAAACTGTCTGACATCTGAGCCTGAAGACTCTCTGCATCTATCAGTGACTTCCTCTTCATGTGCCATAGAAAGAGTTCAACATGCTTTACAAAACCCATTACATTTTAAGACCATTTCCAATATCTTCTACCATAAATCAAGAAATCCATTTATTCAAGGTTACTTATGGAGAATTAATCACACAGAAAATTTTAACAACTTCTTTTTCAAAAATTAAAGTACTTTACTGTACTTGGCATTCCTTTACATAATGATGTGGATTCACAGACTGAAAGCATTAAAAGCATATAATTAAAATTCAAGGACTGAGAGATTAAAAAAATTTTTAGCATGTAGAATTCTCTGTAACAAATATTCTGGAAAAATAAATCAGAATATAAACACAATATAATCTCCTTTGGACTTGTCCTCTCCTTAACTGTGGTATTATATAAACATAGAAAGTTGTTCCAAAATAGTTGTATGTACTCAGTATCACCTCGAAAACATGTAATCAAAAAAATCTAAAAAGTGAGACCAAGAGATCTACGGGCACAATGCATAGGCAACAAGAACTCATGAGTTTCTCTATTCTTAATTATTTCTAAAACCTACCTCCCTAATTTCAGGGGCAAAATTATACAAAAGAGAAAAATAAACAGTCAGCTATACAACCTTTACAGCTTTTATTGATAAGGTATACCCATTATGCCAAAATTGAGCCATCAATAGACAGCCTCATTTCCCATCTAAAGCTAATGAGAATATATTTTACCTTAAATGGAACAAAGAGGCAAATTGCCAAGAATTAAAATATAACCTCAAAGTCTTAATTTCACACTTCAAATATCAAAAAAAGCAATAATTCCCAGAACCATGAAAACATGATGAAGTAGCTACATAGAAAAAAAAAAAAAGGACATTTAAATCATTTCATTCTTTCTTAATATTAACAGGGAAAACAGATGTATTTATAACTTCAGCCTTCAGATAGCATACTTCATAAAGTCATTATTCATTTAAAATAGACAAATGTTTACAAAGAACATTTAACTTAAATTTCAAAGTTGCTTGTAAAACTTGAAAAATTGACCTATACAAGGAAATAAGAGTCTTTTCAAGAGAGATGATTAAACTATAAATATAAAATATATCACAGTGTTAAAAACCTCATTGTGTTCTATAGGAAAATCAATAAAGATTAACTTAATCTTTCTAGGGAAAAGAATATTTAGCATTATAAATTTAAAATGTAAATTTTATATATGAATTCAATAACAAATACATTTAAACCTTGAATTGCCACATAATCATCTATTTTGTGGAAAACAATAAAAAATGATGTACTTTTTCAATATATGTACATCAAAACCAAAGGGTTAATTTTTACTTTTTCCTTTATTGGCAACTTTGGATGCATTTTTAGGTTTTGGTTCCCAAAGGGCATTTTTCACAAATCTTGAAGCTGCACCTCTGTCCAGCTTGGCAGCCTTTTTCTTGTCTGTTATTTCCTTGACTCTGTTCATGTATACTCTGATTCTTTCCTTAAAGATAAAAAAAAAAAAAAGGCAATAAATTTACTAAGCTGTTCACCACTGCTAAGCTTTATTATACTATCCCTCAGTTAAATTCAACAGATATGTATTTATTGCCTATTGAGTGGTGCTAGTAAGTGCAAGTGAATAGGATAAACATGCTCCATGCTCTCCTGGAGTTCACAGTCTGCAGGGAATGGACATTAAAAAGTCATTTCAGAAGTATTTGGAGTGTTTCAAAAGAGGAAGAACTAGACTAAGACATCCTTGAATTGTTTACATGTGGTTATACATGTTTTAATTTAACATTAACCTAAATCCACATAACTCTTATGTATCCGAAGTCTATAATCTAAAATAGAGCTCATATACTTGTATGAAACACACAAATTAAACTCTCTTGAAACTTTTCTAAACCGAAAATAGAAGAAATACTATTTAACTGGTTTTTTTTTTTATTTTACCTTCTAGTATCACAATTAAAATAAGCAAAATTAAAATAAAAGGTTTTGGGGGCGCCTGGGTGGCTCAGTGGGTTAAAGCCTCTGCCTTCAGCTCAGGTCATGATCTCAAGGTCCTGGGATTGAGCCCTGCATCGGGCTCTCTGCTCGGCAGGGAGCCTGCTTCCTTTCCTCTCTCTCTGCCTACCTCTCTGCCTACTTGTGATCTCTGTCTGTCAAATAAATAAATAAACTCTTTTTTAAAAAAATTTTTAAAAAAATACAAGGTTTTTTGTTCAATTTTATAGTTTTGATCAATAAGCACATGATACTTTTAATCAAATACACAGTTCTAATCAGACTTTACAAGGTGAGAAACATAATAGGTTGCCATACCACTTCGAATCTTCTGAGACCATTAATCAGAATAAAGGGCTATTCTCTACTTTCACTGGAGAAATAAAGGGGATGACAACCAAAAACAGCATAGTAAATGATAAATCACTGATAAAAAGCAAGTTTCATTAAAGTAATAAAAATAGTTACAGAAATATACTCAGAAGAATTCAAAACCCCTAGAATTCTTTAACTGTGAAAGGCTGACAACTCTGCTCAAAATCCTCTCACGGCTCTCTACTTCCCTTAGAGTAAAAGCCCAAGTCCTCCCAACATACACCCACCCCAGGCTTGCCTGGAATGATCTTCCTCAAATATCTACACAGCCAGCCCCTCTCTCCCTTCCAGTTGGCTCAAATGTTAACCTTGTTAATAGGCCCTGCCATTTAAAATGGCAATCCTACTCAAGCACCCCAATCCCCCTCATCTTATACTATTTCTTTTCCCATAACATATAACTTTTTAACATATTATATATCTATAAATTTTACATATAACTTTCCAACATACTGTGTATGTATATATATTATTTGTTTACATTAATTGCTTGTCTCCCTCCACTAGATAGTCTGGCATCAGTGACAAGGGCAGTGGTATTCTACAGCTTTATTCACAGAGGAATCATCTCACTTGGATATAATGCCTGGCTTCCAGTAGGCACTCAATCATTTGTTGAACAAAAAAAATGACTATTTTCAGTGCCTTTCCCCACTCATGATATACATGACAAACAGGTTTCCTCTCATACACTAACTCTGTGATCAATTAGTGATGTCTGTCACAAGGTCAGAAAAGGGAAATGGGTTTATGTATGCTTTTTATGTCCCAAGCATCATTCAGAATATGAATGTACTCTCCATAAAGTGGGTTCTGACAGAGAAAAAAGACAGATGATGATTTTATCCATTTCCAATGACAGAATCAAATATTAAGACACCTCAAATAGCTTTGTGTTAAAGGAAAAATGAGAAACCTTATAAATGTAAAGTCCATACTAGAAAGTTGAAAACAGATGATACAGGGCATACTTCTTAAGATTTTAAAGTCAGTATCACTGGTCAAATAAAGATCTGTGCCTCATACTGTTTCACATTTTTGCTTTAAGTATTTTTCACAATTTCTGTATTTAAAAATAAATTTGTTTTCTCCCCAAGAACTTTAAAAGAAGACAATGCCTTAGTCCATATATTTATAGAATGAAGACAAGATATCTGGTTTATTCATTTTTTTATAAATAAGTGATCAAGTATTCTAAAGTTGTAAATAACATACATATCAACCACCATAAGACTTGACAATAATAATATGGTGTCAAATGTATTTCACATATTTACTTCATATCTTATAAACAAAGAATAATTAATATTCTTATTCATAAAGCCAAGTCAAGAAGGTAACCATAAGTTAGATTTCTAATTTTTTCTTTCATATTGAATGATTTAATTTTTGAAGTCAGCAAAAACTCCATGATACTAGACCTTATATACTGTACTTATACATCTAAATGGAATACAAAGACAAACCTAGAAGATTTATTACAGGTTGTAAATATGTCACTAATGCAGAATTACTGGACAGTACACATACAACCAGTGCCAAAAAAGCTTTTAGCTTTGTTGCTGAACTGGATTCTTTACTGCTGAGAAAATGAATTAATGGAAGAATTGAAAAGGTGGGGGAGAAACTTTCCCGTCTTTGCTAGTAAATCAACTAGAATATACTTTTAAGAATTGTGTAAGAGTTTAAAAAAAAAAAAAAAGGCAGTTGTAGAGATGAACAGGATTTCGAGAATTTATAGAAAAAATAATATGGAAGTTATAAATAATTACTTGAATTTTAACATTTTCCCATCCAGAGATTTATATAATATATGGAACACTATTTCTCTAACAAAGGTAAGGAAAAGACAGGAGGAAATCTGGCTCACTTTCATAATTTGGACTTTAAATAATTTTGTTCTCCATCACTAGTATGATAAAGGTACTGTGAGTTTGACTTCAGGAATACCACAACAAATAGCCAAATAAAAAGAAATCCACTGCAATCTTACCAATTCCTGCTTTACTGGATGTTCCTTAGGATTAACTCCCTGAGTCGCCAAATAAACTGTAAGACAAAGATTTCATGGAATAAAATGGCATATTAGTTAAGAGCATTAATTAAAGAAACTCTAGTTACTCACAAATAAGAAATGTCACAAAAAATCATTAATTAAATCTTAAATTATTCAACCTCTATGTAATATTAAATTTTTATGTGCCTCATGGATATCTGGTATTCTGACTTGAAGGAAATAAATATTTGACTATTAAAATTGCCATAAAGTATAACTATATATAAAGTGCTAGCACTTAAAAAATAAATCACCTTTGAAATAATAAATAATTTGCTAATTAACTCCAAATTAATATACATACCCCAAAACATTGAATTTAATGTGTAAGCAGAAACTAAATCCACTTTGGCTTGTTCAAGGGGGTCCAACTATTAAAAAAAAAAAAAAGAGAGAGAGAGAAAGAGAAAGAAAGAAAAAAGAAATACATACAAATTTTGAGCACCATCACATTATTTTAAACTTTCACCAAATACAATGTATCAAAGAGATATTTCTTTTACTTCCTATAATCCAATAACCAAATGATCTTGAAAATAATTTACAAAAAAAAAGTTTTGTTAACTGGTGATTTTTGCCCACAAATTTTCACTTCAGGGTATCATCTTTACTTTAGACAAGGAATGTGTATAATCCAAGAAAAATTCTTTTCAATTATTTTAATTTCAGGAGTTATGATCTGGGTTTTGTATGTCAAAAGTAATTTATCAATATAAACACTGTACATGATGCATTTATGTATAAGAGGCAGGCTAAAATGCTTAGGCAATACCAAAGACAGAAGAAACATAATGAGATTTGTTTTAGACTGTCAAAGTCAATTTACTCTTTTTGTCCTATAGGGTTTCCAGAAACCCTGATAACATCATTGTAATATTTAAAAGGTCAAAGATAGAGCCTGTCAAAAAGAATGTTGTGAGTGTTCCTTTTTCTCAAAACCAAGTCAAAATAAAAATATAGTTAGTAAGTACTTCCTAAGGTTGGAGTTCTGTTTTGTTTTTTCCCCCCTAAAAACTTATAAAATTGAAATTAAGGGGGAAAGGAGCATATGTCAGTCATCTATATCCTCTATATATTTTCATAACATAGCACTCTGTTTCATGAATTACGTTTTAGAAATTACATTTTTAAAATACCTTCTGCAACAACTCATTTCTAGAAACAGACATCATGGTCTTCAGCATCTCATCCACAGCACCAATGGAATTCTCAAATGTTGATAAATACTCATGAATTTCTACTGGATAGTCTTCATTAATTTCTTCACCTGCCATTATGACCAACTGGAAAAAAATTAAATTCTTAGAGTTCATGGGAGGCAGAGACTGCTCTTTAGTTTACAAAAACAAAATCAATAGGTTATATTATGTATTTAAAAAGTACTAAAAGAATTAAAACCTGAAGATAATTAAACAAATCTTCTTAAAATATAATTTTAGAGCAACTACATTCAAACTTTCCCTCCTCAAATTGTTTGGGTGGCAGGAGAGAAGAGAACCCATCCAAGTCCACTAATGCTACATATATCAGAGCCTCAATACCTTTCAAGAACAAAAGACCAAACATGGATTATCAATAATCAAAATCCCAAACTTTAAAAACTTTCAAAAAAAAAAAACCTGTTGAAATTAAAGACTAAGCAAAGCTATGAAAGTATGATGAGTATATCCTATCCCTTATGCTTGCTGAAAAAATAATAAGCTCTTTCTTTGAAAAACTTTGAAAAATTTTAGCCCTTCTAAATTTAGGTGTTGATCTAGCAGCATAGTATATTAAACTAAAAAATTAGAAAACCTAGGTCTGAAATAGCTTATGACTATTTATCACTAAAATCATTTTTAAGCCTGTATTTACATTTATATATGTTCTTTAAGCCTCTTTAAAATATTAATAAAAAATTCAGAGAGTTCATAAATCACATAAAATTTACCAGCAGAAAAGAGGAAACCTGGGAGAAATAAACAATATGATTTTCATTTAGGCTAGAGTATATCTTGACAGCCCATTCTTTTAAAATTCATATTTATATCATAATACATAATATCAATGTGAGAAAAACCAAAATCCGCACCAACATATTTAATATGCTATCTAACACTAAATTTTCAGAAGCAATTCCAAGCTACACATACCATCTGTAGGTTTAAAAAATACATATTAGCTGAAAATACCTCTTTCATTACAAAGCTACGTAGAACAACAAGAATGTGTAAAATAGCAAAGCATAGTAGAATTGAAGTAAAGAGACTTGGGTTTTCTGTCTTGCCTGATCACTGAATTTGTCACCTTAGATAAATCACTAAAAGTCTCTGGGCCTCAAATATTTCATCCATAAAATAAGGCAGTTGGCTTAATGATATGTAAAGTCCCTTATAATTCTAAATGTTACGACTATGTCACTTAACTTTAAAAAGTACTGTTGGAATATTCAGTGACAATGTATCAACATTTCTATTCAACAAGTACATTCTGCTGAGACATCTGGTTTCATTTAAAAAAAAAAAAGTGAAGTCCATCTGACTATCACTACTTGGGCTGTAAAGTTATTATCTAAACTACTGTGCAACCAGCAATTAAACAAAGGACATGATAAAAGAAAACCACACAGGAAGGAATTGTGTGTATATATATATTCATATTTTGAAATAGGAATTCCTATTTCAAAAGGCTAACAAAAAATATGTATTTGCCTCTCATCCCTCCCCAAATCTCTCCAAATGACAGAAGAATCCAAAACTAAGTCCATAGTAATGTTGGAAACATCAGCAGACCTCAACAGCATAAATTTTTGTAAGCTAAAGAGCGAATGGGATCAGGGTGATCAGAAAGAGAGTCAAGGAGGACTCCAATCCCCCACAAACAAAAGAGAAGGTGAATATATGAATAACTCCAAGACAAGGGCACTAAGAACTGGGCCATGAGGGCTGAAAACAGCCAAACCAAAATCTCTAGATCTTAGAAGGCTCCAGCAGCTGCTGCCCAGATAAAGGTATAAGTACAAGGGATATATTGCAAATGTAGAGAAGACTTAAGAGTTTATTCTCCTTATGAAGAATTTTAAGCCAATAAATTTGAAAATCTGGATGAAAAGAATAAGGTGCTGGGGAATGGGTAATCAATTATCAAAATTAACCTAAAAAGAAGTATGTAAACCAAATAGATAAACCACAGAAAAAAAACTTTAAGGTCAAAGAGCTACCCTCCAAAAAGGCTCCGAGTCTGGAAGATATAGGTAATTTCTTTCAAACCTTTAAGAAACAGTTAATTCTTATGGTACTTAACTATTTAAGAACACACCAAAAAAAGATGAAAAACTGAGATACCTATTTCATAACATGCAGAAAAATAAACTCCAGATGAATTAAAAAGGTAAATGTATAAATATATTAAAAGATTATTAAAATATTTATATGATCCACATGAAACCTAAATGCTATAAAAGGAAATGAGTGACAGACTTAACTACATAAAAACTGGAAAAAAAAAAAAAACTACAATATGGTAAAAGTATACCATACGCAAAGTTAAAAGACAAGAAACAGCCTGGGAGAAAATATATACCAAAATATAATCAAGAATTAGTTAGATTATATAAAGAACTCCTACAAATTAAAATAATACAGACATCTCCCATCAGAATGGCAATAATTTTAAAGATTAGCAAAGTTCAATGTTGGCAAGGGTATACAACGAACGAATATAAATTGGCATAAATTTTTTAAACGTACATACCCTTTGACTCATGAAGTCTTAAGAATGTAGCTTACAGAAATCCTTGTATACATACATACAAATTTATTAAAATGGACACCTTTAACTCTTCTCTCAGTCTCTCCCACTTTCTCTTGCATCAGTATTTCCCTCTGCTCTATCATTAAACATAAGATTACCACATTTTATTTCTCCATTTTTGACAACAAAAGAAACATCTTGACTTCATATCCCCTCCAGCAAAAAAACCATTTTCCAACCTTGGAAAGATGTGCTTATTCTAAGTCCCAATTCTTCTCCTTCCATTCTTTCTTGAATCTGCTACAATCAGGTCCCCTCCTTCTCACTCAAAATTGCTCTTGTCAGGGTCACCCTCATAGGCAACTTAAACTCTATGGTCAATTCTCAGTTCTCATGACTTGACATTGTTCACTCACTTCCTTTAGTTTCCAAGGCATCTCATTTTCTTGGTTTCCTTCCTACCTCATGGCTCCTTTCTTGGTCTCCTTTGCTGCATCCTGTTCATATGATCAGCCTCTTATCCTTGATATGCCCACAGGCTGTCCTTGATTCTTTTTTTCCCTCTAATTTACTCCCCAGGTGAACTCAGGACTTTAAATTGCATTAATATACTGATGACTCCCAGGTCTTTACCTCCAACTCTGACCTCCCCACTGAACTCCAAATCACATTTCCAACTGCTTACTCAATAACTCTGGTTGTGTGTTAATAGATTCTCAAATATAATGTGCCCACACCAAAATCTTGCCTGCTAGAGTCTTTCCAACTCCACCTTTCTATCTGTTCAGGCATAAAATTACAGAATGGTCCTTGACTCTTCCATCTCACCCCATATTTAAGACATATTTAGAATGCAACCATGTCCCAGACCACCTCTATTGCCACCATCCTGGTCCAAGTCAGTCCAAGCCATCGCTGTTGTTGCCCAGATTGTTACACAGGCCTCCTAAATGACCTCCTTGTTTCCATTCTGACAGTTTACTATCAAGAAAGCAGAGTGATCACTCCAAATCTAAATCAGATTATATCATGACCCTGCTTGGAAATTTCCAAAGGCTTACCACACTTTGTTCAATATAAGACAAAACTCTTTTTTTTTTCAAAGATTTTATTTATTTATTTGACAGACAGAGATTACAAGTAGGCAGAGAGGCAGTCAGAGAGAGGAGGAAGCAGGCTCCCTGCTGAGCAGAGAGCCTGATGTGGGGCTCGATCCCAGCACCCTGGGATCATGACCCGAGCCGAAGGCAGAGGCTTTAACCCACTGAGCCACCCAGGCGCCCCAAGACAAAACTCTTACAGTGGTTCAAAAAGCCCGGACTCAGACACCTTGGTGACTCAGTCAGTTAAGTATTTGCCTTTGGCTCAGGTCCTAATCCCAGGGTCCTGGGATGGAGCCCATCATCAGATTCCCTGCAAAAAGCCTTCCCTCTGCTGACTCCTCTGTGACCTCATCTCCTCCCACTCCACCTCTTCTTGCTCATTCCACTCCGGGCGTAAAGGCCTCATTGCTCTTCCCCTTCACATGGGGCATGCCACTACCTCAGGACCTTTGTACTTCTTCCCTTCCTAGAATGCTTCTCCTGCACCAAGAGCTTCAGAGCTCATTACTTCACCTTCACCAGATCTCTACTCAAATGTCTCCTATAGGTAATCCTTTCCTGACCACCCTTTGTTAAAACGCAACCCCCCTCCGACTTCCTGTACTCCTATCTCCTTCTCTACCTCACAGTGCTCAGTAGCATGACATATTTATTTTACTCATATATTGTATGGCTACCACATGAGAGCAGAACTTTTTGTGTTTTGTCCACTAGCACTAACTGACAGTCAATAAACATTTGTTTAATGAAAAACCTCTAACAAAATATTGGAAAGACTAAGCTAAATATTCATCAATAGGGAAACAGTTAAATGAATTACAGCACATCCATCCAAAAGAGTATTAAAAACAAATAAGTAAATCTTTATATAGTAACACACAATGAGAAATGGTGAAAAATTCATAGAACATTGTATATAAAACAATATGTATCTAACATATGCCATTTGTTTTTAAAGACCTGCATATATGAAGATATGTAGAAAAAGGTCTGGAAAGAGATATACAAAAAAGAGACATTCTTTCTGAGAAGAGTCAGGATTAGGGAATAGGATCAAAGCAGACTCATTTTTTTAACTCTTCATTCTTCATGATTTTTTTTTTTTTTTTTTTTTGAGAGCCAGCATGCGTATGCTAGTTTGGGGGTGGGGGGAGTTGTGGCGGAATGAGAGAATGAGAGAATCTTAAGCAGGCTCCATGCCCAGCTTCAAGCCAAAGTGGCTCAAGCCAAAGGGGCTCAATCTCACAACCCTGAGATCATGACCTCAGCCAAAATCAAGAGTGAAAGGCTTAACTGACTGAGCCTCCCAGGCACCCCTAAATTTTGTTATTTCAAAAAACATGTACTAAAATTGTAATAAAAAACAAATCATTAAACTCAAATAAAGGCATATTTTAACAATGTATTTTGGCTTTTAACAAATACTACAAATATTAAAAACACAGTAA